AGAGTGACGCTCAGAAAAGAAGGTTAGAAGGCGCAGAAGGAGCTTCTGGCCTCCATTAGGCCCAGTTCATGAGACATATCCGTGGGCCCCTAATAACAACCCCTCCGCGCTCCAGGGCAATGAGGAACGCCAAGGCACCCCGGCCAATTTAATGGCCAAAGCAGATAACTAGGAGACCTTCATCCGGCAATTGGGTGACGGTTTTCCGGAGACGTTCTTTCGAATCATTGTGAACATGCCGTCCAGTTTAGAACGTTCCGAAGCGAGAGGTGGTTTAGTATCCGTTATATGTGACGTGGGCCAACCTGATGGATGGGACTGAAATTAAATTGTCGGCCTTTTTTGGTGTCAGCGTGGGAATAACTCCGATTCGATTGTTAGATTTGAAGGAATACAATTTGCTTATAGTTTTTTTTTCTTACTCCCATGTTTCAATGTCGCTCTGATATGTCCCCTTTGGCCAACTTCTTACGTGCTCTGTCGGATTACACAAGTTTCTTGGCTCTTACTTCCTCTCGTCATATCTTCAGCTGGTGCAGACTGACCTCGCTGCCTGATTGGATGACGTAATGATGGTCCAAGTGCGCTGCGATTCACTTATGGGGAGTGCTTGTCTACGGTACACGTAGCCTTGGCTCTCGAAGGGCCCTGATCTGTGCTTCCAACACGGAGGACGCGATTGACTGATGTTACAGGTCAGAACCATTGATCCAGTATGTCCACAGATCGTGAACCTTTCAATAGAGCATTACGCCGCTTAGCGCCACACAGCTAAGGGAGGAATTAGACTATACGCAAGGTCCTGGAATAGCATTCCTTCAGTCCTAGTACCGTTTGTAATGGCTGCTGGAAGATTTGGACCATCTCCGAGGCTGCTGATGGGAGTGCAGGGAATTTGAGCTCCTTCTCAGACATGATGTTAGAGCAAGTCATGATAATACTGGAGGAATGATAAGATCTGCTTTAGTTCCCTTTCTGTGCCGGACCTAGACATGAGTTGAGCTCTTCCTTTACCCCCAACGCCAAAATCCTTGATGGAGCGGATAGTCATAGCTCTGAGAAAGTGTACTTTGTGGTAAAAATGGTGAAGAGTGTGTAAGCGTGAGTGGTCTCCGGGCTCATAACCTAAAGAAAGTATGTAGGAGAAGTAAAGTAAGTTATACCATGACGAGTAGTAGGTGATTGATTGAATATAGTGCAGCCTCACGCTGACCGGAGGACCCCGGAAGAGATGCCTCCCCCTCGTACTTTGAGTGATACTAGAAAGAAAGGTGGTCAGTACTCAAAAGAAATCTCTTATAACGAGAGATGGGACTTCATAGAACGTGAGAGAAGCCTGCAGTGCTCCTCCAAACTTAGAAGGAAGCTAGTTCCAAGAAAAGAGCGGTGGAAGCTGAAGTGGGAGTATCCCGGGGAATTAAGCCTAGAAGAAGAAGAAAGCAGAAGTATGACTTGAAGGGATGCAATGACCTTCCACTAAGGTCACTCCCTAGTGTAGGTAGAAGTGCATTAGAACTGAACTTGTACAAGTAGTGTGAGCGGGCAAGTCCAGATCACAAAATGGTAACTTGCCGATGTTGTCCAAGGGTAAGACACCTAACTGACTAGTCTGAGTTAATGAAATGATGAGAATATTTCTCAAGAACTATGAAACGTGCCAGTGAGCGCGGCAGCACGCTATTTATATCTCCTCCGTACAAAAGCGGAAAGAGAGAAATGGCAAGCCCCAATCCTCAGTAAGAAAGCTAAGTGGCTGCGGTTGAGCAAAGAAAAGAACCACTTGTTGTACTCCCAGAGGTTACAGGAGATTTCGTCTTTCCAGCCTGAGCAAGACTCGGACAATGAAATCATCTGGTAGAAAGTGTGTCTGTCTAAGAGTCTATGTTTACTAGTTTTCCCTTTTGGGTCTTGTTTCTTTGTTTCTCTTGGAATAAAATTTTTGTGTTTTCCGCCTATTTGATTGTTTCTAAGCACTCTGAGGATGGGTTTATGACCCGAAACAGCTGGTCTGTAAGTGCTTTGTCCAAAATTACATTTGCTACAAGACACTTCCAAAACCGCTACCAGACTACCACACAAATACAATTGCTTTATCATCACTTAGTGAATAGAACCAAAGGATCTTTTTGATCTTAGTAGTGCCCGCAACTGTTAAGCAATGGAGAAAAGACAAAGAGAATCAAGCCCCAGAACCCGCACAGAAGCGAAGAAGGTTAGAAGAGAAGCTTCCATCCTTACCAGTACATGGCAAGAGGCCAATACTGAAAGGCAGGACTGTCATGGACAGTCAAGAACAAAGTTGAAGACGCCCAAGGGACATTCCTCTTTGACACCGGTTGTACAGGAGCAATCCTCAACAAGAGTTTTGTCAGGAAGCATGGTGTTCTCTTAGTGTGGCGAGCTCAACCTCTGACAATGTATGATGCTCAAGGAGATGTCATGATGGGCGGAGGAGAGTATTACACTCACCCAGTCCTCCAATGAAGCACATTGGTGGAAGCCAATCAGCAAAGGAGACGCTCCGATGGGATGGTGAGTGAGGTGGCTACTCTGGTAAGAAGGAAAATACAGCATGGTTAACCTGCCATATTGCATATCGGCAAGGAAGCGTACACACCCCTTCTGTGTCTATATTGTGATAACTATAGGGAACTCCGATCTACCAGATGGCATAGCTGGGTGTTATGGAGTCGATTCACACTCCATAATGTCAGCGTTGTGTGAGCTGACTCCTTGGAGTTGTTTAGGCGTTGACTTTCCCTCTCGAATTCCGAGAATGTGATCATGCATCCCAGGAGCACTATCACGACCTGATCCAGGTCAATCATCGACGCCCGGGCAATATTCATAGAGTCCGGTTGAACGTATTTATCCAGTCGATAGAGAATAAATCGAAAGTGATGTATTTCTTCATAAACCGTCCCGGCATAATCATAGGCTGATTTAAGCGCGCCAAATAGCTTCGCTACCTCAATGGAGGCGGTAAACAACCCAGCGATGGATGCGGTGACTGAAATGGGATCCATGGCGTTGCGTTTGAACTTTGCGGTCTAGGGCTTCTCTGGTGCGGAGCTGATGATATTTGGTGTGTTGTCGATGCTGCATTACATAACCTAGGCGGGGCCACACATGTGGGCGAGGTCCAATCAAAGGTGGTGACCAGAAACGAAAGAAATACGCCCTGATTGGACATTGCCTGAAAATTATATCGACATACATACGTTACATCAATATTTCTCTCCCGTATCCCGAGTGGATGGTATGTTTATAAGGTAGAAGAGATAATAACCTGCACTGGTATTTATACTGACCGTTCACACTGGCAAGGGACGTAACTAATATAAGAAGGATACGTTGTTCAATCCCAGTATGTATGTGTTTACTCTACAAATACATTATTAAATCGTCCTAGATATGGCACAGTTTGTGGCTGAAATTCTCTTTAAGCTCTCCCAGCTTGGCATGGACATCTTCGGATCTCAACCGTTTACTAGGCTATTTATTACCGCATCAAGGTTCTCCTCGTGTCCCATGTGTTTAAGTGATGTTCATTCGCGTCCAGTGTAGGAAGTACACGTATGGCGCAATGACTCTCCTTGACTGTTCTTTACTCTACCCGCACATACTGTTACTTTTATTTGCTTCTTCTCCTCCTTTTTCAATCACGAGTTATCACCGTTGCTTTGCTTACCTGTTCTTTTTATCACGAGATCATCTCAGCACCAAAGGCTCCTGTGCTTTTTTCTCTGCTCAGGTACCCTCTAGGGACATCCTTTCCCTTGCTTTCGGCAGCATCCTCATTGGCTTAGACAGTAATATCAAGCTGGATTAGCCCGTCACCGCGAATGTCAGATCGGGACTGGAGACCGGTGCCTACCGTGATACATCCAGGCTCTACCGGGGCGGCAACATCAGGGGGATCCGGAGGTGAGATTATATCAGCTTATCAGATCTTTAGGAGAGGGATATCATGTCATATCTCACGATTCTTTCACCAATCCTCTTTACCCCAGTGAGCTGATTGTGATCGGTAGTAGCGACCTAGTTATTCTTAATTTGCACAGCTAAGCACTCGACCGCCAAGACGCCAAGATGCGCCATACCCCCGCTTATCGCTTTTCCCCACCACCCGCCACGGCGGGTCTACTGCGTTTCCCTGCTAAGCGAGAGCCCTAGTGTCAAGGGTAAGTGAGTACTCTAGAACGTGGCGGTGTGGCTAAAGGTGTACAGTCGTTCACGGGGTGAAGACGAGCACTGGGTGAAGACGGACAGGGGTTTTGGGCAAATAGGAAACGATGGAAAAGATCGGTTTGGCAGCTTGGCTGTTTCTTGCCATATTGAGAACCCTTGTCCGTCTTCACCCAGTGTTCGTCCTCACCCCGTGAACGACTGTACTCGTTTACCACGGAAAGACTACATACTCCTTTATCCTTGACACCGCAGTGCAAATATTTCTTCGCTGCAGGCTCCGCGGCCAGTTTTTACGTGGTAAAGGGCTCCAAGTCTCGGTCAGTAGGGAACTCGCTGAGCAGGTAAATGGATTATGTCTGTTTCGCAAGTACTAATACAGTCGCAGCCCGGTATGCCGCATTGCCAAGATTCGAAGAATTTCGGATGGAAAATTGACGTGACCCCATCACATGAATACCATCATCTGGAAGCAATTGTCAAATCCGCAATAGTACTGGAGGCTATGGTACACACCTAAAGTTACATCCAGGTCTATCTCACCCTCGCTCATGTCGTGGGAACGTTACTATGTAATTCGGCGAAGGCACGAAATCAGGTCGCGAATATATTTGATAAGCATCAACATTACTAGTAATTACCAGAAATCTCTCGGTTTATGTGTGTTTTATGGAATGTGAACAATTGTTAATACATCACATATATTTCACAATCTTCCCCCGACCGGAACAATCCAATATATCCATATTCAACAACGACAATCAATACTTATCTATCCATCTCTTTCCACCTACAACACCGCTCTCTTTCCAATGCCCAGCAGTATTATCCTCCCCTCCCCGCGCTCCGCTGCCACATATTGGCGCGAGATGCTTGAAACCGCCACTTGCGTGTTCTTCCAGGACACCTCCGGTGGCGTTCGCGAGTTCCACTACGTCAACAACGCGCGGGGCGGCGGTAAAGCCTGCGACGTGAAGTTCTACGCAAAGCAGGGTCTGCACTGGCAATCATATCCTGAATCGAAGGGCTTGGTCGACGCTGTACCTATATTCCCTTTGATTCAGTCCACCAGCCTTTTTGATTAGTCAATAAACGAACTTGGCGCCAAGAGTATTTGGCTGCGCACGAGGCATCCCCCGCTCCCCACCCCCTGCCCCCTATGAAGGCGGGCGGGCTATCGTTAATTACGTTCTCTAACGTGCCGCCGGCGGGGCCCCGTAGTCAATGCGCATCCCCTACCACGATTCCAACCACAAGATCCGTGAATACTGCTGGGACGAGTCGCGCGGGTGGTTCCGGGAGACGAGATTGCAACCGCCGAGCCGGACTCTGGGCTCGCTGCGCTGCGGTGGGAAACCCCGTTCAGTTGGTACCAGCGGGTGTACTACAAGGCTCCGTACCACAGCGGCATCTGCGAAGGACAGTATATCGAGTTTGATAGGACATGGAAGCCCATCGCTCTTCCGGTATGGGACGCGGCCGAGGCGACTAGTATTGCGGCCGTGGTGCGCGAGCCGAAGATATGGGTCTTTTACCAGAATAAAGGCGACGTTGTCCGGGAGGTGGTCCGCGATAGTGGGAATTGGGACGCAAGGGGTTATGGCTGTCGGCGAGGAAGGGGGCGCCGTTGGCGGCGGTGGTGACGGGGTGAGTGTCCCTGATCTACCTATCCCATCCCTGGTGGGGACACGACAATGGGGTAAAAACAAAAGAACGCCCAATCTATCCCCTCACCACAAAATGAAAGTTTTTGGGTTCGGGAGCCATGCTTCTCTGGGGGGTCGGTGGAGGGTGCGGGTACAATGCGCAAGAGAAGAAAGACCAAGTCTGTTGCCCATACAACTTTGTTAAGATCCTCACTAGTTATCACTCGATCTGCTCATGCTACTCTAGGTATAGCCTCCTTCTTAAAAAGGGTTAATCAGCCGGTACCTGTCACGCTAGCGGCTTGGCATAGTCGACGGTGTTACATAGCATTAACCTGTATTTAACTGCTATGCGCGGCTACTCCTGGATAGACATCATCTCACAGTACCCGAGCGAGTGGGAACGAGACCGACATATATCGACTCGGCGTCAGCAGGTTGGCTCGGCCCCGAATGATCCTGCTCCTCTTCGGATACCTATGTAAGTTATTAGTTAGGAGTCGCTCGATCTATCCATTTTCTAGAGTATTGAATTAGCGAGTAGGTCCTGCGCCAGCAGCTTGTAAGCCCTCCCTATTCGCTTCAGCATCCATCGAACAAAGCTTCCAGACTCGCAAAATGGACTTGGCTTACTGAATAATTGCGAGCTAAGCTTATACAGTCGCACCTCGTTATGTCGTTAGTGTGTTCTGGGAGCCAAATCCCTACTAGATAGCAAATATACGAGACAGCAAGTGGTTTTTGGTGGAGAAGGGCAGTACCGTCTCGCAAATTCGTACGAGACAGCAAGAGATCCGAGATATCGAATTACGAGCGACTGTATATACAAGCAGCGTTGTACTCTACAATTACACAAGCGACCCACTGTCTAAGACTCCGAGTAACAAGGACCACTAGCTCACTGTTTTTATTTGCATGCAGGTGCGATTCTTAATACGACTGCAGATGTCGATCCGTCGATCACAACCCCTGATCCCCTCCACACTCTATGCACGGCACCGCTGCGTGTCACCAGACCATGGTACCACACCCATCTTCCCCGCATTTAGTAGCTCCGTGGAGTCTTTTTTCCACACACACTCAAAGGTTGAAAGATGAGTATCGATCACCGGGTTGTATTCCACAGGCAACAATGAGTTACTGCAGGGACTCATCCTTCTCTCGGAGAAATTAGACAGATGGTATTTCCTCAATTCGCTAAAGCCCAGGGTTAGGTCTTTTCATGCAAAAGTCCTGGTCGATTCCCATCTTGGAGGGAGTATGGAGAAAAAACTCTAAGAATTATTTGTATCAGTCATTCCCTTCACGATAGGTCGATAGGAGGTATCTTCTAGCTCTAAGTCCATATTTGAAGACAGGGTAGAGACATAGGTCTGGTAGAAAGTGTTCTATCGAGAATGTGAGGCTTCATTCAGCTTCAAACCTAACTTCCTTTGCTGTCGCCCTCCAGCTGAACCACCTCATATGAGGTCACCATGCATGATTAGGTTGTGGTACCCGAAATGTCAAATTTAGGACTAGGGGGTACCAGGTGCGAGGACATCTGGGCGCCGGGGTTAGTTTATCAATTGGATTTGATTCCTTGAGGGGACACAAAACTAACCCTTCTGATTGTCTCTCCCAGTCTCTCTGGGCTGATGTCTGATAATTTGCTTGAACATTTGTATATACTTAATGGTCAATGATTGACATGCCAATTCACTGCGAAACTGACTCCCGGCACCCCGGTGCGCAACAGCTCTCTCACGCGTAGAGCGTATCACATATGTTATGCGCCGCGTCCTGTGCAAGGAAAAGGACTTTAAAAATGAGATCGTCGTTCAGCGAACCAAGATTGATTCAGCACACATACGCATATACAGTCGATTCTGCGATGGGATTAGAGGCTTTTAGCTGATCCCTGTTTTCCATTGTGAAAGTGAAAAGGAAACTCTTGCAGCTAAGAGTCTAGCTGTCCCAAGCGCATTGAACTATTATCAAATAGAGCATCTTGCGGGTGCAGACTGAGAAATACCCGGGAACGTCGTTGAGTTTTGTCTCAGAAGGTGACACGTCAGCTGCAAAAGCAGACGCAGCTTTAGCTGGATTAGTTTCCCCTTCACTTTGAAAACGAAACCTCAGGCCAACTGAGGTCTTAGCTAGATTTGTGTGGGAGTTCTTATGATTACGTTGTAAGTCTTGTAGATCTAACATGGGTCTTTTGCCCTTAGATTAATTTCATTCCATGCAATGTATAAAATGTTCTATCTGACAAACTGAAAGTACCAACACCTTAATCTCACTCCCGTGTCCTCAACCTCTTGAGATATCATAGCCGAGAATAGCCTTCTGAACTGACAATGACAGGTGGTTCTCTACCCTCGTCCTTGCGATCGACGTGATTGCCGGTTGGGAAATCGGGTGCCGATTAGCGCGTGACAGCCGGTGGTATGTGCTTGTCCGCCCTGAGTGCAAGTACCCACTGACATTGCGGTTGGGCATTCTAACACTTATTTGCACAGATCTAGTTTAATCGAGAGTGGAAAACGAGTTTAAATTTCGCTTTCCAGACTCTACTGCAGGTAACAAAGATGAACTATTCGTACTAATGAAATAATAAAAGCTCCACACCAGGAAAGAAAAGACATCTCGCCACAATCAATAACCAACATTCTGACCTGAACCGTTTCCCGTGACAGGATAGCATGACATCCACCGCTCATTAATCCAACGACATGTAGTCAACCCTCCATCTCTGCGATTCCGACCCGGGCTCATTCGGGGTACCTGCGATGTTTTGATAAAGCCTTGGTAAAGGTACGTTGCCGCCGATGGCGGCCGAGAGCCAAGGCCTAGCAACGCTCTGAATACGGGCGAGCATGATTGGAGGATATCTGGTGTCGTTAGTCACCGGTTGTATTAAGGCACACTAACTCGTCATTGAGAGGCAGTACAAACCGTTTCATTACTATCGCTTCCTCAAAGGTCCATAACTGAGACGTCTTTGGCCTCGGCGTCTCTGGTGGTTCTAACATTATGTTGTTTTCACTCTCCCCAGGGTTGGTATCTAGGGTCAAACACCGTTCTTCTGTCGAGCCATCGCTCTTCATGAGGATCATGAAAAGTGGGGGACTGTCGTCAGTGATTTGATAGGCCTTGACGTGCCATTCAGTCTTTGTACCCAGCCCAACTACAGCGTGATTGTTGTATTCGGTGAGGAAGTTATCTTCGCCGAGAGAGATATGAGCAGTTCCTTCCTGGCCTCCGGACATGATGAATGAGGATATCTTTGAAAACCTTGGGCTTTGAGTGTGGTGTTGGGATGTTTTGAGCTTTCATAGCTAGAGCATCGGCGGCATATATATAGTATTTTGCTCCTGCTGTCTGTTTCGTCCTACGCGGTCGAACAATATTGTATGGCGGGGGACAACTTGAACCGGAGTGTCAAGACATTGGTTTCTGACGATCAATTCCCAATCTGGTAATTAATCTAGTGCGACATTGGTTGGGTTTCCCCAACCTTTAGAAAATTCATAGCACCACCACAAGCAGGGCTATCGAATAACAGAGAGAGAAAAAGTTAGGGTGTGGTTGGGGAAAGTCATTAGCGGTTGGAGTTGACTCCCGGAACCACTCCGGTTCACGGTGTCCCCAGCCATATGGTAGTCAAGACCGGCCGTGTTTAAAACCACTACTGGCGGCAATGCAGTCTGTATCAGAGTATTTCCTTCATCGCTGCAGGGATTCAAATCAGCTGGTGGGGCAGAGATGAGAGATAGCTATCGCAGAATCTCCGGAGGGGGGGGGGGGGTTGCCAAGGCCACCTGCTAAGCGAAATTTAGTTTACAGTCTACCTCCGCCACAAATCTACTATTACGAACAGGTTTTGATGATCCGAATTTCAATTTCACATAGAACATGATGGAGTTTTATCTGCTGTACCAAATAATCTGCTGTATCGAACGAGAAATTTTCCAATATACAGGTTCGTTATAGCGGAGGGAGACTGTAGATCCCGCAGAAAAGGGAAGATCTCTTCCTCTAAAGGGTGAAGATCCTCGGTTTTTGCCTTCGCCCCCACGACTAACTCGAGATTTTGCAGTATTGCCCAAACGGGCGTGTGAAACTTGCCATATACGTTTAGCATCTTCCGTTCACGGTGCAACTCCGACAACGGCTTACACGATGTAGAGTACACCATCCTCTCAATTATCTCAACACTGCAGATGCATGTAACACGTTCAAATCTATCCCGACGACCTAGCAACCTATTTTACATGATGACAATATTTCTTATACATGTCCACTTGATGTGCCAGATTCATGCAGCACAAGTAAAGAGCAAAGTCAACTCCATATTTTTCTTTTGCTAGGCTGACCTCTGTTTTTGTTAAATTAACGCAAGCTGCGCTGTGAATGTTTTTTTCTTTTTCTTTTTCCTTTTTTAAATGGAGTTTTTGAACAACCTATCGATTTTTTACTTGATGTGTTTAGAAGGAAAAAACGCCTGGTCATGCAACATGGCTATCAGATACTGATAGCTTTCCCCAGTCCTGACTCCGGACAAAGGAACGATGAGACACTAGGGATACTGGAGAGATCGCCACTGAAATTGAAAAATGTCGACCCGACAGTTGAAGACAACCTGAGGTCGCTGACAACTTACTGAACTCGAACCACAAATCTCGTGACAGAACTTGCTTAAAGCGCTGTAGGCAATCGATATTTCTCACACATATATAGATCATCTGAAAACACAAACGGGCCTCGACATGCTTACATATTTGATGTTGTCTCGTACTCAGACAGGTGATATCTTCCGTTCATGTAAAAAGTACCGTTGTGTATCCTGGCCTAATTTCTTTTAGTAACAAGTAGCTCGTGCTCGTGTGCTTGGCTGGTACTCACCCAAAGAGTAAGTAGTGGTCGATCTTTTTTTTTTTTGTTTAATTCATTAATTGCATGCAACTAGTGGTTGATCTCGTAGAATGGTGACTTCAGCTAAATTCTTATTCCGCAGAATCACTAACTACAGGTTAGGGTTAAAGTTGAAGTTATGTGTTCGCAACGGTCAGCTCCGGGTATTTATATCTTTAACTATCCTGACAGCGGCCTCACACTGGACGGACTATATGATTGTGGTTCGCCTGATAGCTGACTTGCCAGGACTGAAGACAAAGCGGCGGGCTATATATCTCTACCAGCCATGGAAATGAATCATTTGATTCGTTTCCAACCAAGCGAACTTTTGGAAACGAATAAATTCATTCATTTCCGGGGACGCTTGTGGAAAAGGCATAAAACATTCATTTCCAAAGCCGAAAATCCCCTTTCTTGATTCATTTCCGCTTATGTACCACCTATTCTAGACAAGGGTGCGTCGTCACCCTAAATGTCTTTTCTGATACCTTTTCTTGATGCCTTTCCTCGGGTTGCGTGGAGACCAGAAATGCCTTTTCTTATGACTTTTCCACTGCTGCACCGCGGACCAGAAATAGATTTTCCCAGCGTCAATGTGATAAGCCAAAGATACAGGGCTTAATATATCAATCAATGGCTAGGTGATAAGATGTGGACTGTCTAATCGTAGTTCCCCAGGTTCAACCCCGATTCCTTTTTTATTTTCTAATTTTTTCTGTATATACAACTTATATATAAACTTCGAGGTTTATAAATAATGCGTTCAAGTTTATTAAAGTAATATATGAGACTTAAGAATCATTTCGGTATTCACTTCCCTATACTAAAAAGATTCATTTCCTTAGTAAAGACAGTAAGTTCAATTACTAAACACATTTCCGATGATTCATCTCACACCAAGGTTTTACGTAAAAATAAGAAAATAAAAAAAGAATCGGGGTTGAACCTGGGGAACTACGATTAGACAGTCCACATCTTATCACCTAGCCATCAATTGATATATTAAGCTCCGTACGTTCCTCATAAACCGTATTTACTGTAGAAAAATCACAGGAAAAGGCACAGGAAAAGGCATATAAGAAAAGGCATTAAAAAGGCACTTTGAGATGACGACGCGCACTTGTACAGTACGATGCCAGTCGTGAGCGTCAGGCGCGGCGTCGCAACGCCGCGCGCAACCAGATTTCCACAACCTTTTCACGGCGGGTTGGTACACAAGATATTAAATGTCAAATTATTGTTATTTATCTACTATTTAACAACTATACAAAAATTCAGCTCTCCAAAGGATCAATTGTGGTTGCTGTGCTGGTACCCGTGATGGTTCGGGGGGCGTTGCGATGCCGCGCCTGACACTCACGACTGGCATCGTACTGTACAAAATAGGCAGTACATAAGCGGCGCAACTCTAGAAATGAATTCAGAAAATGGCTTTTCGGCGATGGACATGAATCCTTCCTGTCTTTTCCACAAGCGCCCCGGGGAAAGGAATCAATTGATTCGTTTCCCAAAATCGGTTTGGTTCGAAAGGCATCAAAAGATTCATTTCCATGGCTGGTAGAGAGTATATCTATAGGGTCATCGGATATCACTTGGCTTTGAGTCAAAAAAATACAAGTTGGGAGAATTTATAGGCCTACATGCAGAGTTTGTGACCTATAAGGGTGTTGCACACTGCACATGGCTAATGAATACACCTATATATGCTCAGAATTGGCCATATGAGGGCTAATAAGTAGTGATGGGCACGAGACGAGACAAGGCTTAAATGATGGTGGTCTGGTTCTGATTCCTAATCTTGAGACATGTGCCTAGTATTGCTTTGGATCTCATATTCTCGTCGAGCTATGGTTATGCGCGCGGCAAAGGTCATGAAATGAGCAAATAATAAATGTCACCAGGGTTAGGGTTCTTTGGATTTACTCTCGAGCTATTTGAATCAATTTTCTGCAGATCAAATAAATATCTTTATTGCTATCCTGGCAGGTACGGTCCTGGGATTGAGTCTTTCCTCGTCTCGTGCCCATCACTACTAATAAGGCCTTTGCTAATAGTTAGTGTTACCGCTAGGAAAACACTAAGGGAACTCCTCAAGTGCGGAACCTAACCACAACTTTGAAATAAAAAGATTTTTGCAGGTATATAGGGACAGTCGCTTACCCGTCGCCAAGTCTCGTTCTTATATCGACCCTCCATCGCTCTATCGCCGCTCTCCCATTAGATAACAGTCCTCAAATCATTCATCGCAGTATGGGTTGAGTAGCGAATTTACCAATGAGCAGCGAATTTCAATCGATAAACAAGCCCCGCGTCATTAATAGGAATCCAAAGTGCGAGGCGGTGGACGCAGATGGGAAGTTCAGAGGCAGCGATATTGTCATAGACTACGGTTTGCATACAATTAATGAATTAAGGGGAAAAAAAAAATGATAGGAATCCGAGTGATATCAGATGATGCGAAAAGCGTAATACATAGAGTGTTGAATGGTACAACAGCTGAAGAACAGGCAAAGATCCAGCCCACTAAGTGGGTATCAACATCCTACACCATCTCATATACAACTAGCGTATCCCCAGGTGAGCATCGCATGTACTACCTGAGGAGTACCTCATATCACTGATAAACTGGCGATTCCCGATATAAGACGAACTATATATTTGTACTAATGCAATAATAAAACTTCCGCACTAGGAAAGAAAATACATTCTGTTACAATCAATAACTAATATTCTGACATAAACCATTTACTGTGACCGGATAGCATGACATCTATCGCTCATTCATTAACGGCCACGTAATCAAGCTTCCACTTCTGGGCTTGCGACCCGGTGTCATTCGGGACAGCTGCGATGTTTTGATAAAGCCTTGGTAAAGGCACGTCTCCACCAATGGCGGCCGAGAGCCAAGGCCTAGCAGCGCTCTGTATACGGGCTTTCATGATCGGAGGCAATCTGGTATCGTTAGTCACCGGTTGTATTAAAGAAACTTTGCATTGAGAGGCAGTACAAACCGTTCCATTACCGCCTTCTCCTCAAAGGTCCATAACTGACACGTCTTTGGCCTCGGCGTCTCAAGTAGCTCTAGCATAACGTTGTTCTCGTTGTCCCCCTCGTTGGTATCCAGGGCCAAACACAGTTCTTCTGGGCCCTCGCTATTCAGGAGGATCATGAAAAATGGGGGACTGTCGTCAGAGGGTTGGTAGGCCTTGATGCGCCACTTTGTCTCTGTGCTCAGCCCAACTACAGCGTGACCATCGTGTTCGGTGAGGAAGTTATTTTCGCCGAGAGAGATAATAGTAGTTCCTTCCTCTGCGTGGACGGACATGGTGAATGATATCTGTGGAGAATTTGGGTTTGAGTGTGGTAGTGTTGAATGTGTTGATCAATTGAGCTTTTGAGATAGAGCGTCCGCGGGATATATATAACATTTTACTCTGCTGTGTGTTCCGCCCTACTCGGGCGGTCCTCGATTAGTAGGTGATACAAAATTTCTAGTTTATCTATCGTCAGAGGAATGTAAGCTGATACCGCCGGCTCAAGCTTCCCAATTTGGACACAGAGGTAAGTTTCTCCCCCACCCTCACAAGATGTATCTCGAATTATTCCTTCCACGGGTGAAAGCTTTCAGATTCGCAAATTCCCTCTTTCAGCTATCAATAGCCTTGTGTGGTAACTGTTGCTAATATTTGATTGGCTCTCTGCTGTTATCGATTGTAAAAAGCAATACAATTCCCCTACTAAATGGTGCACAGTCCAGGTCGCGAATCTGACAATATTCATCCGTGGAAGGGATAGTGTAGTGGATAGGCTGTGTATAAGCATCTATATGAATGCAGGGTCAATCCATACTGCATGCCTATTTTTTATTCTTCAGCATATTAGATATTACCCCTGTTAGAGGGTAACATACTACCTGTGGTAACCCATCCCTCCTGGCACACTGTTCTTTTGTAGCCATCTCTAATAGAGGATGAAAAGCGCTCGATATTGGGATAGCCCAATCCCTGGGCGTTACCCCTTAAGGCAGATAAGCTTTTTTCCACAAATTTTACTGTAGGATAGAACTCCAAAAAACGGAACAAGCCCATAATATTGTGTGGTAGTGAAGACCAGTCGTGTTGAGAACCATTCCAGGGCGGCAATACAGTCCATATCAGAACATTTACTTCGTCGCTGCAGGCATTTGCATCAAATATGGTTGGGACGCCTTAAACCGCGATATTGGTTTCTGAGGATCAATTTCTTAATCTGGTAACAATTTATTATTTTACTGCTAGTGGCTTGCAAGGAGAGGCCCCTTGGCGCTCTTAGAGGAGAGCTTTCCACCCAACCCAGACACAAACCTTCTTAATAGGGAAGTTTAGCTACCCTGATAGGGAATTATGGGGTGACATTGTTGGGTCCCACCAAAAGCCCAACTTTTAGAAAATCAATACCTCCACCATAACAAGAGATAAATTATTCCAGCTCTGTCATGTTCTAGAGGAAAAGTACAATTATCGCAAAACAGAGAGAAGAATCGATTAGGGTGTGGTTGGGGAAAGTCATTAGCGGCTGAAGCTGACCCCGGAAACCAAACAGGTTCAAAATGTCCCCAACCATAGTGGGGTAGATGACTACCGGTTGAGTAGCGCATTACTAGTGAGTAGCGAATTTCAATCAATAAACAAGGATCACATGGCTAACAAGAATCTGAGTAAGATCGGGTAATGTGAAAAGTATAACACTGTAGAATGGTACGATAAGCCGGCTAATTAACATCTTACACATCTCGTATTTAACCGGCGTATCCCTACCGCATTAATTTGTTCGAACGGCCGGTCACACAAGACGTCGAAGTTGCCTTTTCAAGCTAATATGAGGGAAGATTAGGGGGCGTATTCAAGACAAATAACCAAATACGGGAATTTCAACGTCTTGTGTGACCGGCCGTTCGAACGAATTAATGCGGTAGGTAAGCGTCGCATGTACTACCCAGGGAGTAGCTTATATCATCTCTAAATTATTGATACGCTGAAGATTCCCGATCAATCATGCAACTGTACCGGCAGGGTAAGCACTCGAATATGTGATTCCCGTGCAGTCCACGTCCTCTTGTCACGACCAAACCAAAATTAAAATCCTACGTAAGTACATGTACATAGTAGCACTCCCGCCGTTTGTAACCCTGCTGGTACCGACCACATGACGTGGTACCGCCTTCATTCTCTCGAGCACCATGCCCTCATACGATTAGCCGTCTTTCGGACAGCCAGGAAGGTAATCTCAACCTGAGATTGGTTTAAGCACAGCAAAAACGATACCCAATTCAGTTGCGTTGGTTAGCTGCGATTCCTCGTGTAATGGGGCCGGAATTTCCTCCTAGATCTGCATGTTCCGGAGGTCTTTCAAAGCGTAAATTCTTTGTTGTCGTTTGCCTCTCTAAATCATCAATATGTTCCTCTTTTCTATGTATCTGACCATTTAAAATATTACTTTTGGTTTAATACTACCATAGTTTGCCCCGATACATTGCCAAACAGAACACATACAAGCAATACTTCCTACCCCGTAGTATTTCTATAATATTCCACTAGCAATATGTTAATATAGATATTTAATTCATTGACCCATGGGGTTTTCACACTGAGAATAAATGCTTGTATGGCTTTTGTCCTTCCATTCATGGATCACCAGCAAATAGTTCAGTTGGATCATCGATAATCTTTTAAAAATCAATCAATTCACAAAGGAATCAGGATACAGCAGAATGCGCAGTACTCAGAGAGACATTTCAAAATCAACACAGGTAGCACTCCTCCATACCAAAACAAGAAGATCATAATACAGCGCATAAATATTCCCCGGAAGCACCCGACTGCTATGGAAGAATCGCTGTCCCTATAGACTACACTACGGGTACTAGCTTTCTCAATGCTGGGTCCCTATTGACGTGGAATATATAGCCTTTGATCTTTTCTTTCGATTCCGGATGTATGAGGTCCTGCTCCTTGAGCCAAGCGACATCGTCCCTGACCGATTGCTCCAACCTAGTAGGCGTTAGAATTTGATGAAAGCTTCAACACCTCGAACCGGAAGGGTACTATAACATACTCTTCGAATCCCATAAAGTCAATATGATCAGCGGATACACCGAGATTATTTTTGATTTTAGCATGTGCGTCCTCGTTTGTGAGTCCCATCATACCACATTCTACCCACGGCAACAGAGTCAGCAAGGTTCAAGATTTTCCATACAATCTCGCCGGGAGACAAGGTGATTGCTTACCCGTATGCTTGACCACCATAATCACTCTAGTATCCAGAAACTGCTGCGAGATGATTATGCTCCTCAGCGCCTCTCTTGCGCTTCCCCCGGCGTTACGGATCACGTGTGCGTCGCCGAGCTCAACGTCAAATGCATCGCGTGGATGGATCCAGGCGTCCATGCATGTCACTATATATTTAGGGTTGAAGGTGTCGTTAGTATTTCAATGGCGAGGCGCTAAGCTTGGATGTTAGATATACGGACCTATGGCAAGACTTTTCTTTGGGATGGGGCAGTGGAGGTCTTCTTCGATAGCCTTTCTGCTAAACGGGGATTCGGACTCCATATTCGGGCTGGCTTTGGTTTGTTCGAGGAAGGGATGTCTTGTAAGATGTTTCGAAGTGAGGCAAGGGGTGTTCTCCGGGGAGGGTCTGTGGAGGGATAGAGGTGTGGAATGAGGTTTATATTGGGTATTCCTTTTATACTATGATAACTGTCGGGAGTCCACCGTTACATATGATGTCGGTCCCGTAAAAGATCGTTCAATGATGTGCTGGTTGTTTCTAGTCCTGAAATCCCAACTCTCTGTCTCTGGATCGGGACAAATGCTTCAAATCAGGTATCCATGCGCAAATCATTCTCGCACCTCCTCTAGCTTCAGCGTGAAAAGAATCGAAGGGTTTGCTGTGATCTCAACTTTGAAATAAACGAGGACGGGTGGTTGTCTAAGGCCGGCGTTCGTTGGTTACTAGTGCGCAGTACGTAGGCTTCGGGTATTATGATTCGGGCTGTTCCTTCATGCGCATGAGCAGGTTATTACGGCAGGTGATCATGCACCCCGCAATTCGGCTGCGCGTGCAGTTCAATCAAGCTAGGCTTGAGACACCTATGACAGCGGCAGCTCAAGGAAGACTACCAAATACCCACCGGCGCCGCATAGCACGCCGGGATCGATTGCCTCCGTAACACCGTTGTTTACGGTTGGGTAATTGCTATCACGCAATCTCTTATCTAAATCAATGTAGTACCCGGTAGAAACGTTGCTGGCTGTTTTCTGTATTCTCTAGAGTCTCGTTCCAACTGATCACAAAATGACGATCAATCAAACTCGACGTAGACTAAGACAAGACAGACGATGTATTGGTGACGATGAACTACGGATATAGGAAGACTAATCTAGTGTGTAGCTTCTCTCTTACGTTGCTTCTTGTCGACACCCCCCCCTTAGCCACTTATTCAGCCACGTGTTAAGCCTTATCATACGCCACGTGCTACGTGCGATAGGGTTTCAAGCCAAACGAGAGAGTAAACATTTTGGGGGATGACGAACATTATATTTCTAGATATTAAAGCGCATTGTAACGCGACTTGCAGCTCGGTGGATAACCAATCATGTAAATATTAGGAGAGGGTGAGGTAATTCTTAGGATACCTAACGCTGCCAGCTATCCCTATTATTGAAGTACAGACCTAACTAAATACGTCGTAATACTATACCTCATCTAAAGAACAAAACCCGACAAGAGAAATATGCTTAACCGCGATCGATCAGAAAATAGGCGAGCGACGCGTAGGTAACAGTGCAGATCGCTTGTGTTTTGGTTAGCGGGAGTGTAGTAATCGCACAGCTCCCGGGGCTGCTGGCGCCACAGGGCATGAATGGCGCCACACCGATAATAGATCACCAGATTGCCGCACCTTACATCTATCCAGTTCTCGCTTACAGACCTTCATCGATGGTTGAAAGATGGAAATCGAGGCAAAACGACCAGGATCTTTGCCTAACCTGGATTTTAGTGAGTTGAGGAAATATGATGTGCCTAATTTCTCAGAATTACGCTAAGAGAAGAGTGAGCCCCGTCAGTTAATTAGCCCTTCCATATTAATCTACTCCATATTCTTTCCTTGTGCATACAGCTCCCGGTTTGCCTCGATACCCATTTCAACCTTCGAGTGATCATCAGTGCGATAAACGATTCTAATGTTACACGACACATGTGAAAACACATTAGGTCTCGTCAAAACAAGCTCCGCTTTCGAGGTGCGGCCCGGCCCGCGCCCTTGTCTCGCCCTGCAGCTTGGCACGTGCAACGCCCCCGCTTACGGAATGTGGGGTAAGGCACGGGGCGCGGCAGACGTCACCGATCGAGGCGACACGAGCGACTGGTCCAAGGCTGTGTTCTAAAACGAAACAGTCCAAGGGCGAATGAAACAGAGTGTCGCACGTTTCCTACTAGTGGCCATCAGCCACCCGCCACCGCAGTGTCGCGCCGATAGGCCTCCCGGGAGTGCTCATCAATTACCTATTCTGGTCCTATCTGCTATACGTGAGTACATAACGGGTCCAAGCCATCCGCGGCGAAAAAAACCATTGAGATGGGTACTACCAGCATGTAGCCTGCATTGTAGCTGACATCTCACCTCACCAGAGCTACGCAATGTCGAATCTTCAGTCCTCCAATGATTCTTTGCATGGAGATGCTAGGTTTTCTGCGGTAATAGATTCATATATCTCGGGTGTATTTTTCGCTGCATGGATTTCCCGTTTACTTTGAAAATGGATTACGGCGGGGCGCTAAAAGACTCTATTGGAACAATTTCTTAATTTTTAACCAAGCACATCGCTTTCTCTCGAGAGAAAACTACAAGGACCCTAGGAGTACAGTAGCTATATAATTGGGTTCTTATGATCGCTTGAATACGTGGAATTCAACTAGCTGGCGTCATCACATTCGGGACCTGTTGGCCACACATGCACACATATTTAGAGCTCGCATCATTTGTATCCATCGTATATTCAACCAGCCCCTTACTACGTACTGAGAATCTTCCATGATGAGCACATCATAATTCCCAACGAAATACAAAGATGCGCAATGTTCTGCATGAAGGACCGCGTGCCTCCGCCCCCACACTTCCATATCTCTAGTAAGGACAACCGCCGCTCCCCGCGACAACAGTATGGCACTGTTTCGGTGTCTGCCTGAATCTTTCTGCAATCTTCCGTTTGACATAATCCTGGCTCTCCTCCGCCATGACACTCACCTGTCCGTCCTCCGTCATCTCCACAGGCTTCCAATCCTGGGGAATTGCCGTGGCATAGGGCAGAGTCATCAAAAACTCTGACAGGGGGCTGGCGGTGGGGCTTTTGCTGCCTGGATAGGGGCGAAAGATGCGGCGGCGCGATTCGGCCAGGTGCATGTAGTCCTCGACACCGGCGGGGGTACGGAGCCGTTCGGCGACCTTGTCCATGTAAGCTACGATGCGCGAGGCAAATTCAGTGTCGGAGAGGGTGAGGTTGTGAAGGAACTCGGACTCGGAGGAGCATGGGTCTTCGGCGGCGGGGCTGGCGGCGATGGAGGCGCGGAAGGAGTCGCCAAGGGTATAGGCGCCGGCACTGGTAACGGTAGAGGTGGCAGGGACGTATTTGAGGAGCTTGGCGCGGCGATGGGAGTAGACGGGATTGCTGCCCATGTTAGAGATATATATCTGGCAAGGGAAGTGGGGAAAGGGGGGGGGGGGGGGGTGGTGTGACGACGTACGGGAAGTCTATCATGAGCAAGGACAAGAGCTCATGTACACTTAGTAGTTTTCTCATCCTGATCATGTTGACTCCCTGCCGGTCCTCCAGACTCGGAACTATCACGCACCACGGTGTCTGTCCCAATCAATGATTCGTCAAATGAAGTTCACCGTGTAAAGACACATACCTGGCCCTCATGGTCAAATGCTACCCTCATGGGATCCCATTGATAGATTGTCTTCAAACCAAGCTTGGTCCTGGACTCATTATAGTACACCGAGTTGACGTTACCTGTCCTTGGAATCTGGGTCGCGTTGCCCATGTCTCAGCAATTGAAACACCTGAAGATGGGAGAGAATTGCTCACCTCGATGTGTTCCGGTAACAGATCTTCAATAACGCTCTCGTTGAAGAAGAAGCCATGCGGGATGCGTGTGTTCCCCTGTTCGGTGATGATTATATCCGAGTTGGCGGGCGACCCTGCAATGTTCACGGTGGTGGTGGTGAGTACATGGCGCATCCACGAAACCACGTTGTTGGCAGTTGGATGGGGAGATATCCGCGGTCCAAGATCCTTATCGAGACGAGAATTGTACCTGGGCAATTTGTTCAGCTCACAGAAGGACACAATGCTGGAGAGCTGAGGCTCGTTACCATTGAAAGGCCGCATTCCTCACTATTCGCTCGAACCGATCGCCGTTGGCGATGTATGACAGTTTCCCACGACTGCCAGCTGGTTGAAGCAGTTCATCACTGAGAAGGGGATTGGTCGGTGAGAGCGTCGAGTTGATCCGGTGCCTGGTGCTGTGCCAGTGCATCCACGGGAGACCGAGCTCCTTCATCACCAGTGCTCCGTTGACATGGCCGCAGAAAGGACCTCGCCCCTCCGTATCCGCAGAAAACGCATCAAACGACGAACCGAGGTAGTGCCATACAGCTGGGCTGTTGTCCTCCTTCTCCGCATATTTATTCGACGCCGTTTGGCTGGCGCTGTAACCAGTGGTGTTCCTCACACGCTGCCAGCGAACGTTAGCACCTGAACCGCTAAGACTACCGGTACACCACCATCACTACCACCGGCACTACCACCTAATACAGGAGAGCTTGCAAGATCGAACATCATACCTCATAAAAGTTCAGCCGGCGCTTGGTTGCATCCCAACTTGCAACCTGCATGAAACGGTTTCGGTTGTCAAACTCGGAGCTTGCAACAACGCAAACTGTCGGGCTGTTAAACGCCCGTTGCACGACGTTCTCCACATTCCCAACCAGCGCATCGGGGTTCGGTGGGTCGGAGGTATTCTCGGGGGTGCTGACAATGGCAAATCGTAGGTCCCGGGGGATGTGTTTGTTTTCCTCGGAGAATTGTAGATACATTCCATCACCAAGAGCAAACGGTACCCATGTATTGCGCGGCAAGACCTTGGTAAGGAGGTCTCGCAGCGTGGCAGGATGGGCTGCTTGTGCGTTCTTGCTGAGCCACTGACCAAACCAGTCGGCGAGCACCTCGGAAACGGGGATGGGCTTGGTGTCCCGCCCATCGATTTTGGAGTAGATTGTGTGGCTTGTCATGACGAGGCAGCGTGGATGTATCACCGTGTCTGAGTTGTCGATATTTTCCAAACTGTGCGCTGGTGATGGGCTGTGGCCTGCACTTTATCTGTGAGCAGGCTGATATCTATCCCCAGCACGCGGCATGAGCGTGAATAAGCCAGTGCTCTGCTCGATATCCTGCTCTAACCTTCCATTCCGCGTTCAGACGAGGCTTCTCGTGGGCACACTTCCAAGCTACTGTTGGAAAGTTGTTCAGCTGCTACTGCATAGTGCCCGTGCTGTTCAGATGCTACCTACCCACAATCATGTGGGGAAGTCCTTCCTGGACTGTCCGATTTGAAGTTTGACAAGGCCGGGGACAGGCATGGAAAGGTGTATGAAGGACGCTGGATGCGCGGGAGAGTCCTGTTAGGATATTGGGGGGATCAAGACGACCTCCGATGTAGGTAGAATATTCGATTGCCGGTGGAGAGTCATCTCCAACATTTCACGATTCTCACATGTGAAAACAGTTACACCGGCTGATCATTACGTAGGTCTGGATTCCTGGGGCGGAGGCTCGTTATGGCCTGTATCTGAGTCCTGTGTAATAGGATTTGCCAATTGAACTTCAACCGGCCCGATCCTGGACATATAGAACCTGGACATAAGGACCTGGACGTACAGGACCTGGGATATATGACCGGCCACCCGTCTAGAGGTTGCGGCCGCGGGGAGGGTGGTGGTGGGAATGACCGGGAGCCTCTATAGCTATGCGGGTGCGGGACAGTCCTGTGCAACTTCAAGCTATACCCACCGGTACCGCCGCCGCCGCAGCAGTAATATAGGATAGACCACAGAGCCTATGATTCCGGGATTCCTGACTGGCTAGCCCAAGCGACTATAGTATGGGCCTGCTATGCCCGACCGGCGAAGCCCCAGTTTCACGAAGTGGGCGCCCCAATGAGGTTGCTCCGCCACCAGGTTGGCCCCTTCGTGAAGAGGACGGATTTCGTGGGAGGGACACCGTTCGTGAGGTTGGCAGAGTATATGTCTTATGAACCACTGTACTATATACTGTGTCAAACATTAATATACGAGCTTGGTACTCTAGCAGATAGCATGGAAGGATCAGAACTTTTATACAACCTAGTGATATTTAATTACAGTCCCAAAAATGGTACTGATATTTCCTTACGGATTTCCTGCTAAATTATATATATATATGAGAATGAGTTTACCCTATCTTTTTTCGCATTCTACCGAAGTTGTAGCGTATGCCAATCGGATCATGCTTGTTGAACAGGACAAGCACTTCGTGGGCTGGCTGACCGACCGGAGTACCATATGGGTTACTTGAGTAGGACAACCCACTGGCGGAGTAACCTGACCGGTGCGTCCACTTCGTGAGATTGAAAACTTCGCCGGCCGGGCAGAACAGCAATACCTCCGGGAAAGAGGGGTTAGAGGTTGATGTTGGTTTCACTGCTTGCTCTCGCCGCGATCATACAATGAGCCGTCCTATATATATATGTCCAGTATAGATTAATAATCATGTTCCGCATGACGCACATGCAGGCAGGCCACTCAAAGCGCGCAACACTGCTGAACCTGCAAACAACGGGCGAGTGTAACGGTGAGGACTTGATTTTGGATGACAACTGCATGTTTCGTTTCAATTCGCCGGTGGTTTGCTGATCTGTCCCTCCGTCTCTCCCCCGCGCCCCGCGCCCCACCGCCATCCCCCTCGTGTTTTGTGCAGCGATATGTGCATCCTTCGTTACATATATACATGCCCATCATTGCCATGACCTCCGACCCGGACCGGGAGTGATTGCGGCTAACCTGTGTCTATGGTTATAAACGATTGACATGACATAGACATAGACATGTGACATGGAATGGTGTGAAACTGCGGGGTTTCCGAGTTCGCCTAGCGAGGATTTGGGCTTGTTCCTGGCTCACCAGGGTATAAAACATGGGACTGATTCCTTCTCCTTATCCTCATCACCGCCCTCTCATCCTCCATCTTCTCATACCCAATTACACACACTCACAAAGCCAATTACTTCGCAACCGTCTCCAAGATGAGCCCGCTGACCCAGTTTAGCGCGCCAGCCTTCCTCACCGACTTCACGCCGAAAAACGCAAAGCGTTGGTCCACCGAATACGTCAGCCCTCAGATAACGGCGCAAGCCGAAAGGCAGGAAATCTCGCAATTCTACAACGAGCTCATGAGTAGCTGGACAGAAACGCCAACACCAGCATCCATCACCTGGGTGGCCTTCCCCAATAACATCGCGATCTCCGAGGGGAGCGATAGGGCAAGATGGAGGAGGGCGGACCTAAGAGGCGTACAGGATGAGTATTGTGAATGGACCGTGCAGCGCAACGAGAAGAACGAGATTGTCCGGGTTGTGTTTACGGCCGAAGGCCCAGAGGTATGCCTGGAGTTTATCTTATCCTGCTTGGGTATCTGTGGTGGGCTGATTGATAAAATCACCTCAAGTACTGGGATCGCCTGGCGGAAATGCAGCCGGACACTGTCCTCGAGCTGTACAGAAAGCACAACCCCGGCTTCGACATCAAGAAGGAAGATCTTTTCCCAAACGGCACGTACACTCGATACAACAAATGGAACGACTCGTCGGTCCCGGGCTGCATCATGCACTTAGCCCACAGAAACAACACGCTGGGGGCCCAGTTCAAACTCGCCGCAGATTCCACTGTCCTCCGCATCGATGCCGCCGGTAGACCAATCAGAGATGCCGACCGCCTCATCCGCTGCAGTCGGCTCGGTGGTCCTGACAGGAACTCTGATCCACATGTGAGCTGTTTGCCCGTTCCCCCTCTTTCTCTCCCGACAGCAGCACAGGTTCTGACTCTCCCGTCAAATACAGATCGGGATCAAGATCAACGATCTTGCCCATCTCGGAACACTCATAACAGTTGCGGACCCCGTTGGGCTCTACCTCCACTCCTTTGACGGCAACACCTTCCGCGCGCCCGATGGCGCCAACGTCAACGACTTCTGGACCTGGACGCGGGGCACGCCTGCCTGCGAGGGGCGCGAGGCATACTGGCTGCGCGCAGTATTCGAGGTGCCAGATGAGAAGGGCTACGTCGTCGGTGACATTGAGGACCAGAACGGAAACCGCATCCAGTGGGGGAGCCAACTGGCCGATCATATCCAGGTGCGGGTAACGGGGCAGATAATCAGGCCTGGGCTGCACACAGCGGAGGCGCAGCATTGCCTTACCGACCCGATGGTCATGTCCATGCCGGAGGCGAAGGCGATGGCGGCATCCGTGAAGATTGGGGATGGGTCGTTGGAGAAGGATGAGGAGGGGGAGGTGTGTGATAGAGTTCATGGCATCGAGGACCCTGGGTTCTGCTGTTATTGAGGACGGGTGGTGGCGGTGGTCCGGGTTGTGGCCGCCTCTTTGCCCAGTGTACCTCAGCTGTGCTATACATCTGTTTTATGTAGCTTGATTCGCGATCGAGTACGGTGCACAATGCAATTTTGGCACTCTTGACATGCGGAATGACACACACCTATATAGAACGGGCAGCGCAGCTATATATACACGTGAGAGCGATGTTATCAACTTGCTTCTCAGGTGCTGAGAGCGCTAAAGTATATCCATTCATCTATTCCCGGTAATCACAACATGTTAGGCCCACGACGGCATCGTGATAGACAAAATCTTTAACGAAAAACAGTTTACCCCACTACCTTTTAGAGACATCCTACATGACAAGCGGGTCCATCTTGCAACGCCAGTCCACATTTGCGGTTAAATTCTACAATGTATATGGTGAGCTACTAATCGCCATATGTCGTGCGTTTTCAGGAGCGCGCTCTATTTAGAGAGACTAAACCGGTCGAGCAAAATCTCTCGTAAATCCTCTACTAATAAACCTAACCCTTACTCCGTGAACCTCTTTAGTGTGAATGTAACGCTCGCCACCCTTCCTTCAGTAGATCTTCCTGTTTTTTGAGCGAGTTTCTTCCCTTTGTGGCAGCGTTAAAATCCGATAACGGCTAGTATAATGAATATCACCACACCATTTGTTCGGCAAAAAGTTGTGAATTGCGGGAACGAGCAAAGGGAAACGTACGAAGGGACATGTGGGGTAGGGTTTGTGGCGGGAGATTAATGTTTCCGAGCCACGAAGGGCGCTTCCTTCTTCCTGCCCCTGCTTTTCTTTTTTTTTTCTCTTTTTAATTTTTAGGACGGGCTCGCACAACTGCAATAGAGACGTTTAGCCACCAGCAACAAAAAAATCCACAAACAATGAATTATTGATTCCCAAGACCATTGTGCATGAGCTAGTTAATTCCTTACCCCAGATCGTCTCAAAATTACTCTAAGATGGGAATCTTAGGCACCGGGACCGAAAATATCTCTAGGCGTAGCCTTGAGTCTCGAAAATATTATATCACGTCGGGGTTAGGAATAATTTTTTGTTCGTTGCTTTAAGGTTTTGGCTAAAAGTCTCTAATGAGGCCCGAGCTCTTACCCGGCACCATACTTGCATTGATTGCGCTAAGAACGGTACCTGCGTCATGGTTCACAACCGGGATGGGCTGCATGCGCGCGAGATCGTCAGGTACCGAACAGGGGTAGCATGTACCGGGGGTTAAGGGTAAGTACTGAGAACCCCATTTTGGGTTCTAAGGGCCAGTTGGCATCTGCTATTGGTCGATTCAAAAAAAAAGGACACTTGGCGGCCAAGAGGTTATTTGAATTGTGTGTGTTGCAGCTTTTGCAATGCAACCTCCATCCCCTCTTTTCCACTAATGCTCTTTCCGAACTCCACGAAAAACATGTTTGAAAGTTTAGGATTGCTATTAAGATGATGGCCAGAGCAAGTGCTATCATTGAGTTATTTTTTTGTATTTTTAGGAAAATATTTAGATTTTTGAGTGAGTATATATGAAGTGTCTTCGTATTTTTTTCCCCATACAAATTTCAGGGCCAAGACCAAAATTCATTGGCTGCTTTTTGGTTGCCATGGGCGGTTGCCATGGGCGG